CCTGGTGGACACTAGAGAGAATGCAGCTTTAACACATGAAGCTTTAGATTCTCTCAGGTTGTCTCCTTGTTAAACAGCAGCTCTGCTCTCACACTGCTGGAACAGATTATAAAAGGTGAACATAAAGCGGCGGCAGGAGGCGGTGACAAAAAGCAGAAGTCACAGAAATGTTGACATCCTGTTTGATCCATCTGTGTTTGAATTACACAACATGAGACTGAGCCAACAACCTTTGTTAAATATTACAATTACACGGAGAATTATGATTTTCTACAGAGCCTGGAGCCAAGTTATTATATATAGTTATTTAATGTCAGCTAGTGTCGTCCATGTTTCCTGCAGCTCTACAGGCTGCAGAGCTCAGCAGGTGTTTCACCTGTAAATTAGCCTCACAGGTGCAGCTGTCGCCCGCAACGAGTCGGACCGGCTGAGCAGCTCCAGAACGAAGCCTCGCAGCATCCAGACACACCTGCTTTCTCTCCGCAGCAGCGCTCACATGTACGTCTGCTTCAGTGGTTAAACTCTTGACGGAGACTCTGGCTCGCGTGGATCTTAAACTGAAAGATTAACTGGATATTGTTATTATCGGTTTTTCACCTCTTGGATCCAGAAACTTGCACCGCATGAAAAGAACAGAAAGCAAAGGTTTCTGTGGCGAGTAATCTGGATTATATGTTGTGTTGTGGATCAGTTCTTCATGCAACATGGTGGACCTGATGTGAGCAGATTGTCTTTCTCTTTACCCTGCTGCTGCTGCTGCTGCTGCTGCTGGTGGTGATGATGATGATGATGATGATGATGATGGTGAAGATGATGATGGTGGTCCTGCTGGACTTTACAGACTGTGAGTTCACTTTAACACTCAGCTGACACAGATACAGTAGAGTCTGTTACAGTAGAGTCTGTTTCTACTCTGCTTTAAGAGAGAGAGAGATGTATAATTAATAAATGAATAAGTACATGTGTACTTTGACAGATTTAACTGTTAGCTGTTTTCATACAGGCAAAAAGAAAGAAATATAGAATAATGTCTAATTTATCCTTTAATTCTCAGGGACATTGAATGCACCACCAAGAAGAAATCTCACAGGATAAAATAATAATCTAAAAATGTTTTTTTTTAAATAGAATAATTATCTAGAGCAGGGGTCTTCAACGTTTTTCAGGCCAAGGACCCCAAACAGATAGAGAGATGGAGCAGGGACCCCCGACTATATATATATTCTATAAAATTGTGTTTTATATTAAATGGGCCAAGTACCATGTATAAACATACCTCTTTATTGTGCATTCAATACTAAGCTATTCAAATAATACACAGGTTCATATACTCATGTTTTTATTTTAAACATGTGCAAGGTACAGTGAGTAGGGGGGCCGTGCCACTGCCATGCATAAACACACCTGTTATCTTTCATACAATACTGAACTATTAAAATAATGGACACATTCATGTTTGGGGGGAAAATTAAAATTTTTGTTTAATTGTCTAATCAACTAAAAATGTCATGGACCCCCTGCAGTACCTCTGTGGACCGTCTAGGGGTCGCGGACCCCCTGTTGAAGACCTCTGATCTACATCAAACTTTTATCTTAAAAATAATAATATAACTGAAGAAAAATATTATTATTGTAATTATTATGACTGATTTCTTTTTTCATTTTTAAATAATTAATAATTATTTGTAAGGCTGGTGAAGTAAAGAATAAAAAACAAAATCACACATAAAATGAGTCGAAGACTGTATGTGACACGTAAAATAAAATCAATACGTTGGGTCAGTCAGCTGACGTCCTGGTCTGCTTACATCTGCAGAGACATTAACACGTCTCCTTGAATAAGTACAAAGTTGTAAAGAAAATGTTTGACATTTTCCTGTCAGAGAGTCAGATGTTCAGATTGATATCACTCTCATGATGAGACTCTCATCAAGCCTTTATTAAACTTAACTACGTTTCCTGTGAAGACAGCATTTTATTTTGAAAAGACTGTATTCCTGTAAAGAGCAGCTGATTTGTGTTGTTGGACTAAAACATGAAAAATGAGGAGCAACTTCACATAAAATATAATATTATAGGAACCATTGTATGATGATGTTGTTTGTATTAATCTGTGCAAAAAACATTGCACAGATTAAAATGATTAACAATTAATTAATCATTAATCATTAATTAATAATTAATGATTAATTAAAATTAATCATTTTAATTCATTGTTGATTCAATTAATTAAAATGAAATAAATTAATTAAATCTGCTTCCTACAACAATCTGAGATGAGATTTATAACGTGAACTAATTTTCTGTCAGCAGATGTGTGGACGCTTCCGGCTCCCAGCAGCGTCTCCATGAAGTCTGTGGACATGAAGCACGAACTGAAGTGGAGCCCCCTACAGGCTGCCTGCAGCCCTGCGGTCCTTTACTCTGTTCAGTTCCAGGGGTGAGTCATTCACAAGAACATTTCACTGACAATTAAGATGTGGATCAATCCGCCGCTGAACATAGTCCCCAACAAATGCTCTAGTTCCTCCTGATTGTTTGATGAAAACTTCAATGAGCAGATTAATGGTGAAGCTTTATAGTGTAGTTGTGTTTTTAATTGATCCAAGTCTTCAGTAGGAACCAATGGAAGCTGAGAGACACAGACAGGAAGTAAGACCGTATTGAGAGACGGACCAACGTGTTGTTGGTTCTGACACAAATTAAAAATATAGAATAATATCAAACTGTGACATTGAATGCACCACTGAGAAGAAATGTCACCTGATAAAAAATTATCTAAATAAAAATTATCAGTTCATCAAATTTTAATGTTAATTAAAGCTGCGAGCAGTATTGACCGGGCCCTCACAACTTCACGCACATCGAGGGTACTGGCAGGACTCTGGCCATGCATTTCTGTGACCGTCATACACTGCGTGCACGAGTGAGGTATTTCCTGCGTAGACCAGCAGCGTAGCAAGATCATGTTGCCAGGTCTTAAGCCTCAAATGTTTTGAGTGTACCTCCGATACAATCATAAATGTAAGCCTTTAAAGATCATTAAGAAAATGAATGTGCTTCAGTGTTTGTAACATGACAGACTGTCAGTTTACTGGGATGGGGTTCAACTCCCTGCAGTGTCCTGCTGATTGTATTTGGACTTACATGAAAGTTAACAAAACGGTAGTGCCATTTGCTGTTACTTGAACACTTAAATTTAACACTTTTCATTTTAAGTTCTTCTGTAACTTTAGATTGTAGTGTGAAGCATTCATTGTAACGTTTAACCTGATTCTCATGTAGAAGCTCTGGACAGATCATTTATACTAATGCCCACCGACAGTGGCTTGACAACCACTGTTATCTAACGTTTGCTCTCCAAGCGTCTTAGTTTGCACATATTTAGATCAGAGAAGTCATTCTTTTCTCATGGTGTGCCCACAAACCCTTTCAATAAGTTCAGTGTTTGGGCCGCTGTATTTATAGAATCCTGCTTACAGCCATGGTCATCAGTAGGTGGCGCTATGACAATGAGTTAATATTGGCATGCAGAAGTCCTAAAGCCATGACAGTCAACAAGCATGTCAAGTTTGGGACAGTTCTGACAAAGTACAGTCGAGTTACAACAGCTTGATGGATGATGGCGAACCATGTAAAATGGCCGTCACACTATATCCACGTCGTTCGATGAAACCTCAAGCTTTTAGTAACTTTTAATCGCTAAGGTCTTTAGATTGTTCTGACCAAATTCTAAGCTGATCGGATTAATTCCCTAGGAGGAGTTCGTAGTACAGCACCTGGAAATGGAAGAAAAACACAAGAAATTCATACAAAATTCAAAATGGCTGACTTCCGGTTGGGTTTAGAGCATGGTCCCAAGAGACTTTATTTTAAGTCTACATGGAATACATCTGCTTACCAAATTCTATACATCTCGGTGAAACGTACTGCGAGGGCTGCATCGTCAAAATATTGTAGGGGGCGCTATCGAGCCGACTTGCCACTCTGAAGTATTAAAATCACATCAGATAACTACATTCAGGATTTTAAATGTGTGTGACAAGTTTGATTATGTTTTGAGCATTTTTAGCCCCTCAAAAACACCTTGATTTTTCATGGCGAAGAAAACGTCGCCACGGCAACGGCCTTTCACGAAACAACAAGCTTTGAGTAACTTTTAATCACGAACGTCTTTAGATTGTTCTGACCAAATTCTAAGTTGATCTGAATAATTCCCTAGGAGGACGTCGTTAAAGTACAGCGCCTGGAAATGACAAAAACGACACTAAAAATTCATAAAAAATACAAAATGGCTGACTTCCTGTTGGGTTTAGAGCATGGCCCCAAGAGACTTTATTTTAAGTCCACATGTGATACATGTGCCTACCAAATTTTGTAAATCTATGTAAAACGTACAGCGAGGGCTGCTTCGTCAAATTTTGTAGGGGGCGCTATTGAGCCGACTTGACACTCTGAACCAATAAAATCATATTATATAACTACATTTTGGGCTTTAAATGTGTATGCCAAGTTTGCTTATGTTTCAAGCATGTCTAGCCTCTCAAAAACACCTTAATTTTTCATGGTGAAGAATGCGTCGCCACGGCAACAGCTTTTCACGAAACAACAAGCTTTGAGTAACTTTTCATCACAAAGGTCTTTAGACTGTACCGACCAAATTTGAAGTTGATCTGATTCATTCCCTAGGAGGAGTTCGTTAAAGTACAGCGCCTGGAAATGACAAAAACGACACTAGAAATTCATAAAAAATTCAAAATGGCTGACTTCCGGTTGGGTTTAGAGCATGGCCCTAAGAGACTTTTATTTAAGTCCATATGTGATACATGTTCCTACCAAATTTCATACATCTAGGTCAAACATACTGCGAGGGCTGAAATTTTGTAGGGGGCGCTATTGAGCCGATTTGCCACTCTGAACCAATAAAATCATATTCCATAACTAAATTTTGGGCTTGTAAACTGCTTGCCAAGTTTGCTTATGTTTCGAGCATTTTTAGCCTCTCAAAATGACCTTCGTTGTTAACGGCGAAGACTGCATCGCCACGGCAACGGCGTTCGACGAAACATCAAAAGCTTCATGAACTGGTATTATGAACTTCTTACCTTTGTGTGGAAGTAATTTGATGTTGATTTGATTTACCTACTAAGAGAAACAAGCCAAAGTATAATTACTTTAACTTCCTGTTACCAGTAGGTGGCGCTATGACTGTGATTCAAAACTGGCCTGCAGATGTCTTCAGGCCTGTAGTCTAATCAAACATGTGCAATCTGGTAAAGATCTGATGATGTGGAGTTGAGTTACATCAGTTTATTCGTTCATGCCGAAGGATCGAAATTCGCCAAGCCGCCATAAAAAACGTCATAAAAGTCAAAATGGCCGACTTCCTGTTTGGTTTAATGAAAAACTCCAAGAGGATTTTTTGTGCGTCTCATCACGTTCCACATACCTACCAAATTTCATACAGCTAGGTGAAACCCAATGTTGGGGCTACTCAATAGGGGGCGCTATCGAGCCAATATTTCATACCGCAGTTGGACACCCCAATCAGACTGCAATTTTCGCAAATTCTGGCTTGCGTGCCAAATTTCGACATTTTCCCAGTATCCCAAGCACCTCCTTTTTGCAACGAAACACTAAGGATAAGAATAATAATAATAATAATAATAAACAATCGAAAAACAATAGGTCCTCCGCTCCGACTACGTCGGTGCTCGGGCCCTAATAATAATAAACAATCGAAAAACAATAGGTCCTCCGCTCCGACTACGTCGGTGCTCGGGCCCTAATAATAAAAACAGGGCTTGAAATAAATGTATAATCTAAATGTTTTTACTGGTTTCCATTTGTATTGAGAGTGAAGCTGTGTTAGATTATAGATTTATCTGTTAATTGATTAATAATTTGCTCGATATAATTCATGAATTAGAGTCCAAGTTGAGGAAATAAAATGTCTCGTTATGTTTTATTTGACAGTTCAAAACTCAAAGATATTCAGTTTAATATCATGAGAGAAATATTCACATTAGTTTTTGACAAACGATTAATAGATTCTCAAAATTCTTGCTGTTTAATTTACCGTGAAGGAATTGTTTTCAATAACTTGTAATGTCTTTGTAGTAATGTCTGCCCTGCAGTAAACCCAGCCAAACAATAATGAAATATGTTAAATGTGCAGATGAGTCCTTGCAGGTCAATGCAAGAAGAAAACAAATCCAGTAGGTGTTTCTGTCTGACGTCTGTCGAGTGATTTAAACTATTCGGCCTAACAACAGGAATCAACGACACGCCTCAGCTAACAATCATAACCAGCAGGTGTGTCTGCTCGGTGACTCATCGCCGCTTTAGTTTGCACACAGGGGGAAAGTTTAATTAACTCTCAGTAAACATTCCTGCGGCTGTTTTGAAGTCATCCAAACACTCCTCTGTTCACGAGGTGAGCAGAGTTCAGAGCTGTGGTGGTAGTGACGGATGTCGGATGCTGAGTACCTCACGGCCGGTGATCTTCAGCTCACTGTCACTACTTTGTACCGTATGTTTGGCTAACCGCTAACAGCTAACCGCTAACAGAACTACCAGTACTGCTGAGTACATCACCGCTGCTGTGCGAGCAGACAGTTTAGTGGATTAGATTTTGTCAGTATTGTATGATGTGTCTAATACGGCGACTTCAAAGCCTGTTGCCTGCGTACGTCGCCGCTTGTTGCTGAGTTTGAATGAAGTCTGTCTCTGCTTGTTCCCGTCGGGATGAGATGTAATAACTTTGCCGATTACTTTTTCTTTAGCAGCATCATCAGGTCGACATTTCAATGTGTCCAATGATCAAATACCTGCAGAACTAAAGACATCAGCCTCAGCTTGAGATGGTGAACATTATAGCATTGTTAGCTTCCTGATATTAGCATTTAGCTCAATGCACTGCTGTACAATGTTTCTGTATGTTCTGTATCATCTTGTTGTCACTCTTCATTCAAGAGTTTTGATGCTTAAAAATGTAAATATGATTGTGCATTATTTAATACATGGTTCCCCAGAGTTCAGCTGGACATATTTGCTAACTTTGGGACTAAAGAACCTGAAGTTCTTTGGTGTTTGAAGAAAGACCTGCAGTGAAAGTTTGATGACATAAATCTCAAGATGGTGGATCTATCTTCATTAGTGGTGTGATGAATCTCAGGGAGGCTCCACAGACTGAACTGCTGACTCTTTTGTACATTTGATTTAATTTTCAATGCGCTGCTGTTTTCAATAACTCCTGATGCGAAACAAGAGAAACACAGAGAGAGTAGTAAGGAATCCGTGGCATGTACAGCAGCAGCAGTGTGTGTGGTGGTGGAAGTATGCAAGGTGAGGTGCCTCAGTTTGAGTTATTATTGTGGCCGGAGGCAGAATTTCAGCTCAGCTGAATATGTCAAACCCACATGTCATGTTCAGTGATGTGTTCAAATGGATTCATCTCAACTCACACAACCAGTTCTGCTCTTGTTTGTTACGAGGTGACAAGAAACACTCATCATAAAGCAATATAAAAGCAGAATGTTCTGTGTCTCTTTGTCCTTCAGGGAGTTTGAGCTGATGGTCCTGAACGGCAGCTGGGTGGACGCTCCCGAGTGCCAGCTGATTCCTCACACTCACTGCGACCTGACCTTTGACCTGGGCTCTGACTCCGACTACAACCTCCACGTCAGAGCGCAGTGCGGCTCCCAGCGGTCGCCCTGGACCGAACTCAGCCCACCTTTCAACCGCAGAGACAGTAAGAGAGGAAATAGAATTAGCAACACGTTGACTGTTGATTCAGGTCGGCAACCTCCAGGTCATTAAAGTGAAGTCAAAGCTTCACGTGTTAAAGCTGCATTCTCTCTAGTGTC